AATATTTTGAATGAATAACGCAGCAGCGGCGCGTCTCGTGGGCTAGACTAACAAAATATTAAAATGCAACAACGTCACTTATATCATCATCACCGCATCTCGCGTGCCACTGATGACGCTCCCTGATGCACACCTAACATTCAAATGCAAATGTTTATTTTAAATTCGACTAATATTCATTCTTTATTCACAATCTCCTCATCACAGGCAGGCGCAGCACTCATTTCAGCATGTGTTTGTGTTTGTGTGTGCTGTCTGCGTCACTCATAGTACGTGCCTATATTGTGCACTATATCGAACATTTTTTCTATCGATATCGAAGAAGGTGTACCGTCGATAAATATCGATACCGTTTTATCGCCCAGGCCTAGGAGAAATACTTCCATACTTCAAAATACAAATTTAAAAGTCTGAGGAAAATCAAATCCTAATTTGACAAACCCCAAACCAGAAAAAAAAGTTATAACAAAATGACTTATTGCACCCAGAATTCCTCACTGAACAGAAAAAAAAACAGACGCAGCCTACTGAACACTTTCTGTTATTGTGACAGATGCCGTAAGGAGAAACTCAGCCTCTCCTGACCATTAGCTTCAGTCACTAAAACCTGTCACCACCACTTCACACATCGCTAAACTCCGCGTGTGTGTGAGGGTCAGCTGTGATGCAAGGGGTTAAACGGTGGTTAATCGCAGCTCTTTACCTAACCAGTCGTTAAACTTCTTGACCTCCGAGGGCAGGCCCAGCTCGGTGAAATCCCCCGTGTGCAGGAGAACGTCCCCGTAAGGCATCTGGATGCCATCTGTCCGCGAGTGTGTGTCCGACACACACACAAAACGTGTGTGGCCACTCGGCTTGGGACTGTCGTACGAGATGGGGTCCACCCTGAGAGCGAGAATAAGTGACAGAGAAACAGATGGAGGGAGAGAAAGAGAAGGAGCTTATTTTATGAGCATGAAAACCAGCAGAAATAACTGTACGCAACTGCTAGCCGGCTAGTTACATGAGCTCAGCGACATGTTTAAATCAGTCTGTCATTGCTATGCTCCTAACACGACAGAACAAACCAAAAAACGAGTGAATGAAGCATCACTGTAGTGGCAAAAGTTTTATCTATAACAGATTCATGTGTGACGGAAACATTAAGGAACTGGATTCATTATGTGATATTGGAATTGAACCACGTTTCTTATCATACACTACCATTAAAGTTTGGGGTTGGTAAGATTTTTTAATGTTTTTGAAGGAAGTCTCTTATGCTCACCAAGGCTGCATTTATGTGATCAGAAATACAGTTAAACAGTGAAATATTATTAGAAGTTTAAATAGCTGTTTTCTATGTTAATATATTTTAAAATGTAATTTATTTCTGTGTGTCTGAACATCCTTTTATTTATTTTCCCAAAGATAGTTTGGGGGGAGGCGGGGTGGAAGAAATTCTCCTCTATAACTCAAAAGGAATGAAAAAAGGATCTTGGCTGTAATTAAGTCAGAAACGTGCAATAAGCCGCACTTTCCCCCCCACTATTATTTCATTACTAAAAGGGTTGTCAGTCGACAAAAAGCCCTTGGCTCTCTAATTAACACTTACATCTCCTGTCCGACTAAAAATATAAAGGACCTTAAGAAGGGAGGTGGGTAGTTGTGCACAATACACACACACACTCTCTCTCTATCTCTCTCTCTCTCTCACACACACACACACAATTCCATTAAGGAAAACAAGTATATTAAGCAGTTGTACATAAAAGAGAATAGACTCAAATGAAAGAAAAGAAAATAGCGCAGGATGGCAAATAGCGAGTCAACAAAAAAGGAGAAGACAGATAGAAAAAGAAGAAATATACACATAAGGAAGAACAAACACTAAGGAAAATGAATGAATGAGTAAAAGAAAGAAAGAAAAAGACACCCATTTTCCATCGTCATCGGCTCGTGCATCTGTCTGAACTGTGATTACATTTATATGACCGAGTCATATCTGAAATGAACCACCTGCACAGAAAATCATCACACTTTAAAAAGGAGAGAAACAGACAGACAGAAAATAATAAAACAATATTTGTTATTGATCACAATGCAGTAAATAAAAGCAAGTCCACACACACACACACACACACACACACACACACACACACACGGTCATATTAATCTATTAGAGTCAACAAGGTTTTTCCACATGGAAGCAGAGCTGCGTATCTGTCGGTTCGCTGTCACCTGAACACGCAACTGACAGGATTTGTTTCACAAGTAAACCAACATTTTATGGACACCATTTACTATCTTAATGTGAAACTGTCTTAAAACTTTCTTTTACCTGAAAATCAAACCCATGAGTTTGGTGGTGCAAGCATGAAGCCGGAGGAACTGTATTGACCCTTAAAAACTGGTTGATTCATTTATTTTTAATAATATTTTTACTTAAATGAAACCAATTTATTTGGATGTTGAAACATTAAGTACATTTTTTTAGGTTACCTGACAAAACATTTGTTCAAGGTGCTCTCTAAAAGAAAACCGAAATCACCACAGCCACAAATATAGCCATGACCGGATGGAGCCTTTTGAATATTTGCTTATTGTTTTAAATATTCACACAGCCTTTTAAATATTCATTAGGCGGGGGGAGAATAGAAAGGATTATTCAGACCAGGGGCTTATGGAGCCACTGAAATTGCATTAGAGCAAAACTAGAATGTGTGTGTGTGTGTGTGTGTGTGTGTGTGTGTGTGTGAGAGAGAGAGAGAGAGAGAGAGAGAGAGAGAGAGAGAGAGAGAGAGAGAGAGAGAGAGAGAGAGAGAGAGAGAGAGAGAGAGAGAGAGAGAGAGAGAGAGAGAGAGAGAGAGAGAGAGAGAGAGAGAGAGAGAGAGATTGAGAGTGTGTGACACTGAAAAAGGCAAGACATATCTTGAAAGAATGAGAAAGTGAGTGAATAATGACACCATTGTTCAAATCCACAGTAAAGTATGGTAATAACAACACTTAGTTATGAGAAGCACACACTTCCTCATGTCAGGAAAAGACCTTTATAAAACACACACACACACACACACACACACACACACACATATTTAGACTCCGGATACACCGCGGCTCTTTTATTGGATACATGTGTCATATTGCACAGGAAAGCGTTTTGATTTCTGTTCAAAGATACTCTATTTGACAGCACTCACTTGATTCTTTAACCTTCAGGAACAACAAACGATTGAACTGTATCAAAGCTTCAAAAACATCCACAGTTCATCTACTTCAGAGAGCCGAAGATGCGCATGCTATTTGTGGATCTCTCTTCCTTCCTTTGGCTTTTGTTACAAGAAATAACCTAAAACTTGTAAATAGCAGCCACAATTGTTTGTAAGGTCAAAACTGTGGTAGGGAACAATTAGCTGGTTTCTATTTTGACCTTTTTCCCTTTATAGCACCGTTAACATCGTGCCCTCAGTCCTCATGGGAAGAAATAAAGTGACAAGTGATTAAAGATATCCAATAAAAGGTATATCTGCCATGCCAGTTTTTGCGTCAATCAAGTCACAATCAGAGCTAAAAATGAGTGACATTTTGTTGTTTGCTTGATTTCTATTTCTGTATGCTGTGCTGTGTAGCTCCGCCCACTGCACACTCTCATTGGTCGAAAATTCTGCTGCACATAACAGTATATTAAACATCAAATATGTTCTGATTGGCTGTGTTGCATCAAACACATTACAATTTAACCTTTCCAGATTTTTTCTAACAGCCTATAAGTGAAAATTGCATCCATTATCAGAGCAAAATGGGTATAAATTCCACTTCTCAGAATTAAGCTTCTCTTTTTGAACCAGACTATTTCCATCGACATCCATATAGCCAGATTTACATTGTGATCCCGCCCCCTCTTCGCAATCGACAGAAGAACTGTTAGTCAATGTGCTTTACAGCACAGAGACACCTGCTGTCCAATGAGAAGAAAGGAATAATTACATTAGACACCCCCCACCCCACCACCAGCACTCATTATGACATAATGATTGTCCAGTCAATAGGCGGTTAATTTAGAGCCCGACCTCTGGTCTGCGGGTTTAAAGGCAGTGCTCCAACTGCTAATTACCATCAGACGCCCATTATCTGGTTTCTTAGGTTTGAAGTCTAAAACCTTCATTTTACCAATATTACGCTTTGCTAATGTAAATGAAATCATTATCAAATTACAAAATGGACACAAAACCAGGCAAACAATTAATTGTAGATCAATATATCTGGTAAATGAGATGGTATTTTGGCATCAGCTTTTGAGGTCAGCATCAGTTAGATAAAAAAATCTATCAACAATGTATGGATAAATTGCCTGTTTTGCAAAAAAAAATAAAAAATCATACATATATACATACACATACATTTGTATATACACACGTATATATTGTATTTGTATAGATATTTTTTTTTCCTTTTTGTGAATTTCGAGCATTTCAGCATTTTGTATATATTATATAAACTAATTAGCTTTCACACACACACACACACACACACACACACATACACACACATATTAAGCTAATTTGCATTTTTGAGTAATTGTGTTTTTGTGTAATTGTCTGAAATAAAAAAAATAATAAAAAAAAAATAATAAAAATTAACCTGGAATGAAAAATAATAAACTGTTTTAATAATAAAAAAACACCTGAAATCAGGTTGATGCATTAATATTGGGTAATATGGCCGATATCAATATTGGTTACTGTACACTGAACTTCACAAATAACAACATCACAAACACGATGCATAGATGTATGATAAAAATGTTATATTAATGTTAATTTTTAAACTTAACCATTATACTTCCTGGAATAGTTTTTATTGATTTAAAGCTGCAGTCCATAAGTTTTGCCTCTGTTGCCATCTCTGTTTGAAAACCTGGAATTGCAGCTGTGTGCAGAATTATCTAGCTTGCGTGGGTTGTGAGTCGGCATGGCTCCAGCGTGGATTAATCTAATGTTTTGAGGAGTATGTGTGGCAGTCATTCACCTGGTTATGTACTTGCTCAAATATTGATTTCGGATCATTTTTAACCAAAAAAAAGTTACGGACTGCAGCTTTAACCTTCACAAATATGACAACATCACAAATTTCACTGACGGATAGACAGACAGATGGACAAACGGATAGGACATTATGTCGGTCAAAAAAAAAAATTTGTTACAGCCATTAAAAGACGACGTGCAATTTCTTCACAGAAGGATAAATCAGAGTTCTGCACAGACTACAAGGAAATATTTTGCATTTCTCTCCCGCCATGGAAAGATTCCTTCTTTAATGTAGGAATTTGGTGAGAGAGTGACCGAGAGAAAGAGCCGGTGTGAGAGAATGAACCCTATGTGTACAGTATATTTCAGAGGGCCATGTTTTGTAGATGTGGGGCACAGGGCTGTGAAAAGAGTGCCCTGCAGTCAAGCCTTTGATGCGGATAGCACCACCACTGCACTGATCTGCGGCAGGAAATGGACTTTTCAGGCTTATCTGCCTCACTCAGGGCCACGTGTGTGTGTGTGTGTGTGTGTGTATGTGTAAGACAAGAAGGGGCAGGAAGCTCCGTGAACCAGGGCCAAAGAATAAAAATTATAATGATAATCATCAAGAAGAGCCAAATATTTACTGGCTTTTCCACTCGTGCAGCTCTGCTTGTTCTACTATTGGTGAAGAAACATCAAGCTGTACGTGCAGTCCACCACCTTCCCTCATACATAGCAATGAAATCCATTTCAGACAGAGAGACACAGCGTTTCTATCTTATCTTGTGCTTCTCAGCTGTCGGCGCTAATTCAATAAACTTCAGAGCAACACAGAGAGCACAAAAGCGAGAGAGAGAGAGAGAGAGAGAGAGAGAGAGAGAGAGAGAAGCTGGAAAA